GGTCGATGGGCTCGCCAGCGCGGCCTGCAGAAGCTGCCAGGGCGTCCCGTGGCGCAGGGACGCCTCCACGGGAGACGTCAACTCGGTGCCGGGGTGGAGCTGACTTAGGCCGAGGCTGCTGTGGCGGGCGGCGCAGCAAGGCGGCCGCCGCCCCCGAAGAGGATCACCGGGCACGGACAGGGCTGGCGGCACGGGGCCGGCAAACAGGACAAACAGGTGCGGCGGAGGCCGCAGAGAATCTTTTTCTGGGATCCAGCCTCAGGTGATCCGAGCAGCTTGCTGGCAACGTGACCATCCTGGAAAATCCACCGGGGCCACGTGCACGGATGACGCGCAGGTCTAGGTCGAACGGCACGCACAGGACACGGCGGAGGAGGCGGGAGACTTTCGTGCCTTTCGGCAGGAAGGAAGCAGAGAGCCTCTACAAACTTCAGGGTGAGGCTTTCGGGGGGCCTTCTCAGCAGACCTCACGGACAGGCTCTCAGCACAAGCGCGCCTTTTGTCGCAACCCTAAAGCCCGTGACGCTGCGAGAGAGCCATGGCTTGGCTTGCAGGGCGGGGCTCAAAAGTCCGAGAAACGAGATCGGCCGAGGATGACAAGACTCAAAGGCTAAGTCACTAGAGGGCCCCGTCTGCCCATTGGGTTCGCAACAATGTGCCCAAAAAACTTTCGCCTGCTGACGCAGACTTCCATACCCAACATCCCCACCAACAAACCTCCTGGATGGGAGGCAGTTGAAGGGACAGCCGCCTTCCTACAAGATCGGAGATGGGTCGAGGTTGCCAGGCCGAACCCTGATCCGTGGCCGAGGGGCGGCAGAGGAGCGCGGGCAAACGCCGCCAGGAGCCTCTTCAACGCGGGAGGGCTTAGGCGCCGCAACCCGTGCTGAAAAGCCATGCGCCTTGAGACCACCCCAACCCTCACGCACGGTGTGCAGGTGGTTCCTTGGAGTCTACGAGGTCTTGTAGGTGATTTGAGAATGTCGAGCAGCCGGGGGAGGCATCTCAGGGGCCCCCCCACGGGCGGGTTTCGGCAGCTCAAACTCAGCGAAATGGCATGCCGCCGGCTTCGCGGGAAGTCCGGTGACCTCCGCAACCTCAATTCCCTACCCTCCTGGCCCAATCATGAGAATCCAAAGAAGGGGGCGGATGCGTTCAAAGCCTGGGGCGTATTAGCGCAAAAAATGCCATTGGGGGGTGGAGCTGCACAGCGCAAGAAGCCCGGCGCTTGCTGCTGCTTTGGCCCGGGCCTCCTGGTTCACAGCTGTAGCCGTGCTGCTCGACCCCTCAAGTGCACCCTCGAAGATGCCGCAGGTATCCGCAAGAAGGCGGGCCTCGGGGAAAAGGGGCATCCTCAAGGGGGCACTCTACCTTGGGCAGCCAGGGAGATGCAGAATAAGGAAGATGATGACTTAGGGGAGTATGGGGTCTGGGGTCTAGGGTTTTACCCGGGCTGAGGGCTCCAGAATGCCGCGGGCGTCTGACGAGAGCAGGGGAGCGTCCAGGAAAAGTTTGGGCACCCCCGCGCGCTTCGACCAGTTCCTCACAGTCTGGGTTTTCAGGTTTAGGGTTTAGGGTTTAGGGTTTAGGGTTTAGGGTTTAGGGTTTAGGGTTTAGGGTTTAGGGTTTAGGGTTTAGGGTTTAGGGTTTAGGGCTTGGGCTTCGGTTTGAAGCTTTAGGTTCAGGGTTTCGGGTTCAGTGGAACAGAGGAACAAACACATCAAAGCAGGATATAAAACAAGGGAAGAAGCAACAAAGCCCTAAACCCCAAAGCCTAAACGCGCCAGAACCGGCGCCGAAGCGGGCGCTCAAGCAAACAAACAACCTCGCGCATGGCCCCTCAGAACAAGCAAGGCCTCCGAAACCCTGCATGCTAGAAGCATCAAAATCGATGATCATTGAATGCACAACCATGAGAATTAGCAGAATTTGTATCTGTAGAAGCCTCATAGCTAAGAGAGTAACCGTCCGAGCTCAAGCCAAAACCCTTGCGCACAGTGGAGCCCTGGTCTACGTAAACATTGCATGGCCCTAAACCCAAACCCTGAACCCTAAACCCTAAACCCTAAACCCTAAGCATCCCGCGACATCTTCATCCCTGTGAACGGGATACACCTACCTTATTAGGGTTTAGGGTTTAGGGTTTAGGGTTTAGGGTTTGGGGTTTGGGGTTTAGGGTTTAGGGTTTTGGGTTTTGGGTTTAGGGTTTAGGGTTTCCCCCCGAAGCCCAGAAGCCCCTGCTCCCCGCAACCCCCCCACAACTAGACTCTGCTAAGCCTAAGCCCCAAACCACCCACCCAGCACCTTGAAACCTTCCCTGGGGGTTAAGCCCCGTACATCCCCTCTGTATGCCAAAATCCGGCTTCTGAATGTAAACCCTAGACCCCTAAACGCCTACACCGCTTAACTCCAAACCCCTAAACCCCGAAACCCTCTGAACCCTTATCCTGAACCTAAACTAAGCCCTAAAGCCCTAAGCCCTGAGCCCTAAGCCCTAAACTCAAAACCCTAAACCCGAAACCCCTAGACCCCTAGACCCCTAGACCCCTAGACCCCTCAACCCCCTAAACCCCTAAACCCCTGAACCCCGAAACCCCTAAACCTCTAAACCCCTAAACCCGAAAACCCCTAAACCCCACCTCCTGCAGGAGGTCATCGGCCTCCTCCACGTGTACATTCCAGAGCCTGGCGGGGGGCTCGAATGTTCAAGGAGGGTTAGGGTTTAGGGTTTGGGGTTTGGGGTTTAGGGTTTAGGGTTTAGGGCTTAGGGCTTAGGGCTTTAGGCCTTAGGGCGTCGGGCTGCGGGTAGGGCTTGGGGCTTGGGGCTTGGGGCTTGGGGCTTGGGGCTTAGGGCTTAGGGCTTCGTGCTTAGGGTTGCAGGTTGAGGTTTTAGGGTTTAGGGTTTTTTCTGGTTTAGGGACATTTTGTTGCTTTTTTGGGGGGAAGCTGTGAAAAGATTCGTGAGGGACAGGTGTTCAAGGCTTAGGCTCGACATGTTGAAGCGGATCTTTGGCAGAACAGAAAGCGAAGGACGGTAGTATAGAGTTCTTAAGGGAGGGGGGTTAAGGGTTTCGGGTTTCGGGTTTAGGGTTCAGGGTTCAGGGTTCAGGGTTCAGGGTTTAGGGTTTAGGGTTTAGGGTTTAGGGTTTTGGGTTTGGGGTTCAGGGTTTAGGGTTTAGGGTTCATGGCGGACAGGTACCTGTAGGGAACCTTACGGGAGCTTCGGGAGGGGGGGTATTTGGGGATCTTTGGGTTGCGCAACCACGCCCGCCCCTGCCTTAAGAACCCGAGAACAGTAGCAAGAGCAAGAACAATGACAAAACCAAAGGGGCTTAGGGTTTAGGATTTAAGGCTTAGTGGGACAGGAGCCGTCACAAGACACATGAAACAAATGGGCCGCGACTACTCAACCCCCTCAAGAGATGCTGGGAAGAACTCGCCGCGCCTGCGAAACGCGCGCGGGCTGCTACTGCGAAGCGGCGCCGTAATCCAACGTCAGGTCCAGGGTCGAAGCACGAAGGCATCTGGTCGTCGGCATGAGCTTAAGCCGCATGCTTGTGCCTGATGGGCGATCGACGGGGCGCGGCTGTGTTGATACAAACAAGTAGAGGCAGCCCACGCTCAACGACCTTCATTCGCAGAGGAACACAGGCCTAGGGTCCCGGAGGCCAAGACTTAGGGGTTTAGGGTTGAGGGTTGAGGGTTTAGGGTCTAGAGTGACACAGCAAGCTGGCGCTCGCTCTCTCAGGCTCCGTATCAGCCCGCCCTGAATCCCCATAATGTTCAGTCCAAGCTCAAGCCCAACACTGAGATTCCGCAAAGACGTCCACAAGGATGTGGGCTCTTCTGAGCTTCAGCCGGAGCGAAACCCCCGCAGTCAGCACGAGCTGCGAGTTCGGACCCCCTGTGGGCACATGCGGAGTTCTCCACGTGAGCCTTGCCTCTGGGGAAGCTCTTAGAGAAACAATGTCAGAAATCTTGAGCGTGCCGCATGGGTCTTGGCCAGCTGGTGGGGGTCCTCGTCCTGCAAGCAGCCTCGGCATCAGGCAATGACGAGCGCGCCTGGATCAGCGAAGACCCGTCGGTACTTTGGCCTGCATTTCGGGGGCAGCAGAGTGGGAGCCACGGACAGGCAGGCTGAGCAAGGCAACGTCCGCGAGCGCCACCGGACGCGGGTCCAGGTTAGGGCGGTAGGAATCGGGAACTCCTTAAAAGGGACTCTCTGCGCGGCACGCGGGGGCTTTCCAGAACGGAGCTGTGGCGCACAGGCTTTTCGCGGGGCGTAAGGTCTCAAGATTTTGGGGGTGTGGGTTTTAGGGATTTAGGCCTTAGGGTTTAGGGTTTTGGGTTTGGGGCTCGCGTGCCCCTCCATCGTGGCCCGAGGCTATTCAACAGTCCCACAACCCTAAACCCTCTTATGGAACGCCTTGTCCTTGAAGTGCAACCGCACACCCTAAAATCCAAAAAAAGAGACCGCGGCTGGCCGCTGAGGCTCAGAAAGCTGACTTCAGCTCGGGGGCACCCGTCCAAGATCGGCGCAGCCGGGCTCACTGTGAGTGGCCCACCCCACCTTTGGCCCTCCGGGAGCTTCAGATGCAGGATTTGGGAACTCGGGCTTAAGGCCCAGCTAGGGCAACCTGTTTCATGCCACTTCCGAGAAGACAAGAGCGCAGCTCGTTGCAAGAGGTGCCCTCCCCGCCGCATCCTGGGGAGGTGTTGTGAGAACGCAGTGAGACACCCAGCTCATCCAGGAGGCACCGGTGACCTTCCGCACGCCCAGCAGGGCGGGCCTTGTAGTGTCCGCGCCTTGGGCCTCAGAGCCCCCACTAGAAGAAGGGGGCTCAGTGAACCCGAAACCCTGAACTCTGATTCAGAGGCGGCGCTGGCTCCACGAGCTGACTCCCTTCCTGGCCATGCTCAGCCCCTAGCTGCGCCACATCGAAGACTGTGATAAGAGCCGACAGGAGGGCAGCTAGCACTCGGTTTCGAGCTTACGTGCCTCAGGGGTGCCTGAAGTGAAGAAGAGGCAGGTGCCCAGCACACGAGAAATGGCACCGAACCCGGAGATGGAAGGAGGCTGCACCCAGGAGGGCGCGGCTGGAGTGAAGCGATTCTTTCCCGGCCCTTGCGCGAGGGCGCAGCTGGGCTTGGAGCTTGCGGTAGGCCTTGGAGAAGAGCTGCGGGGCTTCAAGAGTTGGGGGGCTTGAGGGCGTTTTTGTGGGGGCTGAAAGGTCCCTGCAAGTGCACGGCTCCGCCGGGCGCGGCAGGCGGAAGAGCCTTTGCAAGCAGCCCGAAGTGATGTCCGGCAAGGACAGCAAGAAGGGGCTCAGGAGCTTCAAGGCTCTGCAGCCTCCGGGGCCCTTGAAGGACGAACGGCGCGGGGGCATGTTCAGACGTTCCTTCCTGAGGGAAGATGAGTGAATGTGGCTGAGGTTCGAGGTGGGTCGACAGGCTGACCTGGAGCTGGGCTTTGGGAAGGGCCCAAGCCTCACATGGCCACACAAGGCCACCAAGTTCTGAACCTTGAAGCCCCCAGCACGAAGCATCAGGAAGCTGTGAAAGCCCTCAACCCCAAGCATTCCAGGAGCCTCAACGCACTGACGCTCGCAGCTTCAAGAGCTCCCTGCTCCAGTCACTCCAGATCGCACCCTGCACCGGAGCTCTTATGCGGACGTCGGTAGCTGTGCTAGGGCTTAGGCTTTTGGGTGGGCTGAAGAGCTTTCGGCAGCAGGGGCTTGTGATGGACCCCACCTCGTACGAAAAAGCCCAGCGCAAGCCGCGGATTCGGAGAGGAGAAGGTGCCTAGGGTGCTGACCACACCAAGTCCAAAACTCCCCATCTCAGTGGTCGAGCCCAAGACCTCCCTTTAGGGCCCTATAGCCAGGCCTCTGAAGGTCTGAGGTCTTTGGGGGGTATTAGCGAGAACATGTTGTCAAGCCTTTACGAACCGAAGGAGCATTACGTGAAGGGACTCCGAGCAAGGACCAGAGCTTCGAGAGCCACCCGCGTAGAGAAGGCAGCTGCTCTAGGAGGTGATGGGAAAACATCGGCAGCAAGGGCCACCTCAGGACCACCCCAAGGGTGGAGGGCTTTAGGGTCCTGGGGGTTTCAAGATTTCGGGTCTTGGGATCTTAAGGTCTGAGGTCTGTTCTTTGAGTACCCACAGAGGCTCCAGAAGCTTGCCTTCCAGCGGCCTTCGGAGCGGTCACAGCTAGCACAAGGCCCGGGTTTGGGGTTTCGGGCTTGGGCTTAGAGTGTAGGCTTTCGGGCCTAGGATCTGCCACGTGCGGGTCTCACGGCTTGCCACACAGCCGCCTGAGGAGGGCCGAAATTCGCGGAGAGGCCTGGGCCAGAGGCCCCCTCAAGGCTCTCTGCGCGCCACCCCCCCTTGCACCGCACCTGCGCTGAGGCTGGGCCCTCTCCAACGTCCGATGGGGCTCTGCCTGAGCGTGGGGGCCTTCACGAAACAAAGGCATGCGGTAGCATAGGGCTCAGAGGATCTTAACGAAGCCCTAAGCCCGAGAAGGCCCTGGATGCTTGCAATCTCTTCTGGGAAGTTGGAGAAGCCAGGTCGAGGCCCTCATCCCAAGCATGCTGCGGGGCCATGCTGACAAGAGGTGCAGCAGGGAGTCGCGCCTCTGGCGCGAGCCCTCATCCCTACGAAAGCGCGACGCCCGCCCGGTTGCTACGCGACCTCTCCGACATGTCACGGCAAGATGGCGCGAGCCTTTGGCACAGCTTCGTGAGGTTTAGGGTGCCAAGTCCCTATAATACACCCCAAACTCTTCAAAAGTTGGGCTTCGGGATGCTTCCAGGGTTCAGGGCTCTTGCCAGCAGTCGCCAGGCTCGCCTCAAGATCGCCCGCACCTCTCATCCGAGTCCATCAGCATCCCAGCACAAACTCCGGGGGACACCAACGAACCACCCTGAAGCCTAAGCTCTGCGGCTTCTGAGCGGAAGCCTGCCCCAGAACATCTTGGAGCACTGGAGACCCCGCTGCGTGCACTCTACAAAGCTTCCAAATTACAACCTGCCGGGGATTTAGGGCGCAGGCGGTGCAGGCTTTACACCCGAACCCCTGAACCCCTCAACCCCCGGAAACCCGGAGAGGCGAGCCCAAGCTCGACGCGCAACACGCGGGCCCCGAAGCGCCAGGTAGAGCACGAGGATTCGAAGGCAAAGAAGGCAGGCATTACAACTTGCAGCAGTGTAAGGCGGGTACGGGAGATGTGTCACAAGCTGGCAGGTAGCCCTGAACCGCGAGCAGGAGCCTGGACGATGTCCAAGCGAGCATGCGCCCTGCACGAGTGGCTCAGAGGTTTGGCGGCTCAAAGATTGCCCCCTCTACGTCCCTGCAACGGCTCGGAACCAGCGATTCAAAAGCTGGGCAGGCCAACGCTTGCTTCTTGCGCGACACTCCAGTGCCCAGTGAGGGCTGGTTGGGGTCACGTGTTCCTGCATCCATTCAAACACCGAGTCCTCTAGAGCAAGCCCGCAGTGACCTTCAAGAAGCCCGTGGTCGGAGGAATTGTTCAGTCAAGTGCGCGCCGAGCAGTGTAGAAGGACATGGCCGCATGGGCTGCCGTGAGCAGAACGTCAGTCACTGGAAGGGCGCGGGTTGCTGTTTTGGCCGGTTTGCAAGACCCTACGAATGAGGTGTAGGGTTCCAGTGTTGGGGGCTTTGAGGCTTTGAGGCTTCAGGCTGCAAAGGATGTTGCGGCGCTGGGGGGGTGGAGACAGGCATCACGTGCCCCGACCACGCAGTCTAACAAGGCGCAAGCGAAAAAGATCAAGCTTCACGCTGCAACGGGAGCCGCAGGAACGGACCTCAAAGGCCTTGTGGCTTCGGGCTTCAGGTTTGAGAAGCATGCAGCCTAGGCAAGCTGAAGCAGAAGCAGCGGAAAGGTCCATCCATCAAGTGCGGGGCGCGCGCACCTGGCTTCCAAACAGAGGACACCCTGGGGCCGAAAGGCCCCTAAGCTCCCGGCCTCATGTGGTCTCCCCTAAACCCTCAATGGCACCCGTTGACCTGTCTGGCCAGGATTGGCTATCAGGGTTGATCATCCCTGACGTTTTTGAAAGTTCAGGGGGCCTTCGGATTCCACCTAAACTACTTTGAACCCTAAAGCTTTAAAAAGCCTAAGGTCTTGATTCCCGGCCTCTCACGGCGGATCGCGAATCCGACTAACGCCTAGATCTGGGACGCCCATGAGCAGATCAGACCTGCCTCCACAACCTCCTGAAGCGGTTTAAAGCCTAAGGCCGAGGGCTTCGAGTAGGTCCCTTGCAGAACTTCACTGCCCAACCTTAGCCGATGGTGCCTCTTTTCCCAGCCTGCAACACACGTGCTGCCGGAGACCGCAACTGCCGCAAGCATGCGGCAAGGCCGGCGAAGAGGGGGGTTTGGGGATGGGAGAGTTTTCGTAGGGTTCAGGGAAAATGTCATCGAGATGACATTCCGCCTCATGCACGGAGAGAGGCAGCGGCGGCGCCGCCCAGCGGCGTATCGGAAGGCATACCTCGTCCTAGCTCAGGGTTTCGATGGGTTTAGGCTCTGGAGCCCTCAGCCCGAAGTAAAACCCCTGGGAGGGGATTCGCAGAACTGCAGCCTCATGAATGAGTCACCCGCTACGCCCTTTCAGGGCATTGCGCGCTTCGAACCATCCCAAGAAGATCGCGGCGTCGCACGCCGGGCCCGGCTCGGAGTGTGGGGTTTCGGGCTTCGGGACCACCAAGAAGACGTCAGCCTTCAAGGCTCTTGCTTTAGAGTTTAGATGCACAAGACAAGAGGTTACATGACCTGCCAGGGCAAAGAACTCAAGCCCGTAGTTGCTAAATCTAACGCCCGCCTAGGTTGAACTGCAGCCCCTGAGGTTGAACTGCAGCCCCTGAGGTTGAAGGAGCCCCTGAGGTTGAAGGAGCCCCTGAGGTTGAAGGATGAGTGAGATTTTCGGTGCGAAGGTGCACTGCTTCGCAAGGCTCAAGCACTCAGACGGGGTGTCAAGGCGGGGGGCGGAAGGTCCAACCCTTCATCCGCTCCCCCAACAAGCTCCGAGGCGCGCTTCAAAGCCGAGCTACAAAGCCGAGCTACCCGTGGTTTCGTGGATGGGGCGCGCCGCCGGTCCGCCGGGTAATGCATGTTGCTGTGGACCCTGTTTCCAGCTTCAGCTGAGACGATTCAGGCGAGTCCGCTTGCACTCCGACAGCAGTTTCGCCCGGAATGAGAAAGCATGCGACATCACAGACTGTCAAGGTGGGCAAGCTCTTGTGCCTTAGTCAGTTTAGACCCTCCATTGAACACGCCTTGCTTGCCGGGCTCTGCGGTTCTAATCGTAGGCTGCTAGTCGTCAGTTGACTCATCCCACGTGCTTGCGCAATCAGGCGCGCCACCTACATTGGCCTTGCGGCCACCCTCCTGGGAGGCAGCGAAGGGGGCACCCCCAAGTGAGCCACACTTGCCGGAGACGTGGGACTCCTGCGGAGGAGACATCGTGTGCGCCGAGTGCTCCCGTATCCTCCAGCAGATTGAGACGTGAAGGTTGCTCTAACTCATGACCCCTTCTGGGCCGTTGCGTTTCTTTTCGCGGCCTTCATTGTTAACAAGCATCGCCCAAACAAGGTGACCCAACTTTTACAGCAGCTTACCAAAGGCCTTTTTCATGTCAAGATGCCTTTCATGGTAAAGGCACAGGCATGCAGTCACCTTTGAGCATCACGCTGGACTCAACAGGGTTCAGCGCGGAGGGTCGGGGGCTTGGGGTTGACGGTCGACGTGTTGAGGGCTGCCTGGGGCAACGGAGGCAGGTGCTCCAAGCAAGAATACAAGGAGCTCAGCGCCTTGGCCTGTCAAGTGCTGCGCGAGACTAGTCGGCAAGCCCGGTGTGAGAGGACCGCGTCGCCTTCACGGGCGTGCCCGCAGCGAGTGCGGACGAATGCCTCCGACCGCAGATAGGCCGGTGGCCACTGGCCGCATGTTCGCGGGCTTGCGTTCTGACACCCACCCTGAACTGCCCGCTCGGCTTTGGGGTCACAAGGGCCAGGAGGGATTTTTCGGGAATGGGGGGTCAATTTTTGGATATGGCTTTATGTCTTTAGGGCTGGCAGAGGCTTGCAACAGCCGGACAGAAAACCGATGAGGCCTTGCAAAAGCACTCCTATCCTGTTCACCTCGTCATTCCTGGTGCTGGCGTGCGGACTGCGGGCTCCTGTTTGAAAAGTTTATTGCGAGGCCCCGCAGCAGCACTGGCTTTAACGATTGCTACCCCCCTTCTTGGAGCGGGCTAGGGTGGCTGTGCACCGCACACTGAACAAGCTTCCGGGATGCCTATGGACCCGACGCTCGAAAAGGAGAGGCCCTGCAGTCGAGTAGGCGCCAGGACCAAGCGAGATGAAACCAGCTCGGAGATGATGGCCTGGAGTAAGGGCGAAAGAAGGCAGCGGGATCCTTGCGTAACTGTGTAACCGTTTTCTTCAAAGATCAGGTTCGCTACACCCTCAAAACCGAAGGGAATTCTGAGCCTAATGTGGCCCTTTTAGTCGGCCAAGCATCAACGCACAAGGAGCATGACCAGGTTGCCAAATTCCGGCCCCAAACCGAATCCGGATGCAGGCAAATAGCCCGCGCTTACTTGCCTGTAAGTTAACTCAGCCCATCCACAAACTGATGTACACGATTTACATATGCAAACACATCATATACGTATGTATGTGTGTATATATATATGTATGTATGCATGCAGACGCATGAATTTACGAATATACATATCCGTATGTGTACATACTTCTAACCAGATGCATAGTTGTCCTTAAAATCTAGCAACCCCACTGAGGGGTAGGGAAAAGGTCAACAAAGATGAATTCATGCTTGCCTTCACGTCTAAGCCCTCTGAACTCACCTAACGCCTTACTTGGCTTCACGAATGAGAATAGTGTTAAGAAGAGCATTAATTGCTAGTGATGATCATCAGCAGCCACCCTATACTCCCTTGGATCCAAAAACAAGCAGGCTCGAGATAGCTCTTTGGCCTTTGTGTGGTGAGCAAAAACTGGCATGTAGGGTTTAGGGTTTAGGGTTTAGGGTTTAGGGTTTAGGGTTTAGGGTTTAGGGGTTAGGGGTTAGGGGTTAGGGGTTAGGGTTTCGGGCTTGGGGTTTAGGGTTTAGGGTTTAGGGTTTAGGGCTTAGGGTTTGGGTTTAGGGTCAGAAGAGTTGGAACGTTCGATGACGTTGGAGGCTCTAAGGACTCCCCACAAGAACCATTCGCTGAACCTTTAGCGGTCCCAGCGGGGTCGGCGGCTTGAGCCGGAGGCTCTTAAATGTTACCCCGGCTGTTTAGGCTTGTTTACGGCTTCGGGCGCTGAAGATTTGGGGTTCAAGGCCTAGTCATCTTCGGAGTTCTCAAGAGACGTCTTGCAGGGTCCCGGGGCTCTTGAGGAAACCCGGGAGGCGGTCCCCTTTACGAAAAAGCAACGGGCCTGGTAGCGCAAGACGAAGAGCGAAGCCGGACCTGACCAAGACAGACCCGACCCTCAACCCTCCTGTTTGGGCCGGAGCCTCCAAAACACTTCCCGAGGCGCAGGCGCCCTACGGCTTCTTGCCCCTAAGGTTAAGGCCTGTGGTTTAGGGTTTAGGGTTTAGGGTTTCGGGTTTAGGGTTTAGGGTTTAGGGTTTAGGGTTTAGGGTTTAGGGTTTAGGGTTTAGGGTTTAGGGTTTAGGGTTTAGGGTTTAGGAGAGCCTGAACCCTACACCATAAAACCTGCTCCACGTCACTTGCTGCTGTGGCTGACAAGTGATTGGCAAAATGTGAAACTGTAGAGAAGAGCATGGCGGGCGCAGTCAGAGTTGTACACTTTCACTTACACCCTAAACCTTGAAGCCTAAACCCCAAATCCTAAACCCTAAACCCTAAACCCCAAACCTCCCTTACAACGGGAAGGTTTTAGGGTTTAGGGTTTGGGGTTTAGGGTTTGGGGTTTAGGGTTTGGGGTTTGGGGCTTAGGGTTTGGGGTTTAGGGTTTAGGGTTTAGGGTTTAGAGTCGGCACAAAGTTGAATTTCGATTTCGGTCAAACAATGAGGCAGCCGTGAAGCTTGCACTGCGCCTGCCACACTTCCTAGGTTTAGGGTTTAGGGTTTAGGGTTTAGGGTTTAGGGTTTAGGGTCTCAATCACATGCGTACTACAGAGCAGTTTTTGTTTCCGATATTTCGTGTTTACGCCTAAATCTTGGATTCAGGGTTTAAAGGTCAACTCCGAAAGAGAAGAAAGGAGACTTACCTGGCAAATGGTCCAGGGTCCAGGGTTTAGGGTTCAGGGTTCAGGGTTCAGGGTTTAGGGTTTAGGAACCCAGATCCAAATCACCTGACCGAGCTGCCCCAAGCCATGGGGGGGGGGGGGTCCCAGCAACCGTCGCAACCTCAGGAACCCCAGCAGCAACCCTAGAACCTCAGCAAACCCAAATCCTAGTAACCCTGAGCCCTCGTAAGCCTAACAACCCTCTAACATCTAAACCCTAAACCCTACACCCCAAACCCTAAACCCTAAACCCAAAACCCTAAACCCTAAACATCACCAGCCCCCCAACACCTTGCAGCCAGCACCGTCGTCGCTGGGTGGTGCGTCTCGGGCCCTGCCATTGGGCAAGACGCCACAGGCTGAGGAGGCTTGAGGGTTGAGGGTTTAAGGTTTAGGGCTTAGGGATTAGGGCTTGGTTCTAAGCGTAGTTGGGCCACGGGTCCTGGGTCGCCGCAGTGCTTCCTGCATTTTTCCGGTGTTTCCTGCAAAAGTGTGTTGTTCGACTTTGGGGGGGGGGGGGCCCTGGCAGCGGGGGACAAGAACGTCATTCATATTGCATCCATGCACAAAACACCGGTTTTAACCGCGTTTCCGCCTCTTTATACAACACACTGCGCCAGGATGTGGAACAAGACACGTTGTCACAAGCGTCCATGCTTTTCGCGACGATGACAAAACACTGGTATTTACCGCGTTGTTGCCTCTTTGTACAACATACTGCACTAGGATGTGGAACAAGCAAAGCTGTCACAAGCGTCCATGCCATTGACGTCCATGCCCAAAGCACTGGTATTTGCAGTGTTCTCGCCTCTTTGTACTACATACTGCGCAAGGATGCGGAGCAGGACACATTGTCACAAGCGTCCGTGCCAAGTGCCACAATGCCCAAAGCACTGGTATTTACGGTGTTTTCGCTTCGTTGTACAACACACTGCGCAAGGATGTGCAACAAGAAAGGCTGTCACAAGCGTCCATGCCTTTGGCACCAGGCCCAGAACACCGATATTTGCGGCGTTTTTTGCCTCTTTGTACAACATAGTAGGAGATTAGGCTCCGGGGTCACAGTGTAAGTCAGAAAACGAAGCACACTGTAACAGCAAGAGCCAAACAGCAAAAAGTAAGACATCAAGTAGTTTTTTGGTACATTTTCAAAAACTGTTATTGTCAAGACCCGCGTAAAACGCACATTCCCTTTCAAAGAAAGTCCACGGCAACCCAGGACCCGTTGTCCGGAGATTTCTAGGGGGTGGGGGGAAAATAAGGCGCTTCCAAGGGCTCATACTAACGGACCATGAGACTACCCTTAGAACGGTCCATTTTGGGGGAGGACTTCCTGGGGTTTGGCAGAAATTTAGTGGTTTTGGGGATGGCTTAGGGTTCAACGGCTGCTTTGACGTTCGATTGCTTTGAGCTGCCGGAACTGGTCCAGACCACCAAGTACCCGTACCCCCTGGAGTTTCCGAGTCAGCAGTTGCAACTTAAGGCTTTGTTGTTCAGGGGTTGGCTCAAGCCCTAAACCCTAAACCCTAAGTCCTAAACCCTAAACCCTAAACACCAGGGCAGGGTTGATGCAACACTGCGCTCTCAGACCCGGAGTTGCGGACTTCCCCGCCTCAAAATTGGCAGCCATCGTGGCTCACAACACGCCGAATAGATGGCACCACGCGGGTTTTGAGGCTTTCGGGCTGAGGGTTTCAGGTTTAGGGTTTAAGGTTTAGGGTTTAGGGTTTAGCGTTTCAGGTGTGCAGGCTCGCAACAATGTCTCTAAGGAGTTCAAGAATGTCTTTCGATGCAAACGGCCTAGCCCCAACAGCCTTGCAAGGGTTCAGGCTTTAAGGCTTAGGGTTTAGGAATTGAGGCTTAAGGTTTAGGGTTTAGGGTTCTTTATGAGGGTTTAGGGTTTAGGGTTTAGGGTTACGGTTTGACAACGATGGAGAAGATGACCCATGCAAGTTCTCAGCCCTCCCTTGGCTCGGGCCACATCTGGGCACTCTCCGGCCACAAATTTTACGTGCCAGCGCACTTTGCAGATGCTGCGTACTTTATAGGGTTTCGAGTTTAGGGTTAGGGTGTAGGGGTTTAGGGTTTAGGGGGCAGGGTTTAGGGTTTAGGGTTTAGGGTTTAGGGTTTAGGGTTTAGGGTTTAGGGTTTAGGGTTCAGGGTTCAGGGTTCAGGGTTCAGGGTTCAGGGTTCAGGGTTCAGGGTTCAGGGTTTAGCTTAATTTAGACTGTGGCGACGCAAATGTGCACCGAACATCGGCCAAAAAACTCGCACATCCCCATCATAGGTAAAATTTGTGCCTCGAAGTGGGGCAATGCCCGAATCATCAAACTTGAAAACCCTCACAGCCCCCCTACTTACCCTAAACCCGCAAGCCCTGAACCCTTTTCTGGGGTTGGTTACTTCATAAGGGGACCTTGAACCAAGAAAGGGCACAAGGCTACCTCTGGGCTACCAAGTAGCCCTAAACCCTAAACCCTAAACCCTAAACCCTAAACCCTAAACCCTAAACCCTAAGGTTTCAAGCTCTGTTCCTTCTTCGGTGGAGTCGGTTCAGAGAATCAGACCCACCTTTCCACTTCCAGGAGCCCTCAGGGTGGGTGGTACGGTTAAGGTTTAGGGTTTAGGGTTTAGGGTTTCGGGTTTCGGGTTTAGGGTTTAGGGTTTAGGGTTTCGGGTTTAGGGTTTAGGGTTTAGGGTTTTAGGGTTTTCGGACGACTTGTAACAAACCCTAAGCCATAAACCCACACGACACCCAACAGCCACGATTCGTTTCTACTTGGGATCGTCCCAGCAGGTGCCGGCCATTTGGCCCCTTAAATACACCCTAAACCCTAAACCCTAAACTCCCGAACTGTACATATCCCTGGCAACCATCCGTGCACCTCCATGTAATCTTGCGGCTTCAACGCCACAAAAGTCCGCTTTTTCCTCGGCCCCTCTCGATCCATCTCCATCACAACATATCACAACCACAAGCTCGGTGAGAGGCCTTAGCCCAACTCAACCGTGCCAGGAATTAGCAAATTCATGCCACGCCCCTGTGGGTGCGCCTGAGGCGTCACCTCTTGGGACACTGGCACGTGATACTCCTCCCACCACTTGGAGACATCCACCTCGACGTACTCGTAGCCCTTCCGGTCGAGCCAAGCTACCTCGGCCTTCTGTGAGTTGCCCAACCCTTCTGAGGCCAGCATGAAGTCTCGATCTTCACTAGGCAACCAGGACAGGAAGAGTCGACGGTACTCGCGGCTGTATTGGGACGAACTGTCCCTTCCCGTTCCCTTGGAGAGCTTGTCGAGACCAGCTGCAACTGCCGCCTTGAAGACGTTTGACTTCTGAAAGGCTGTCCACCGAGAGTTGATCTCGTCCCGTCGAATGTGTTCATGTCCCGCCGTATCGAAGCTCTCCACTTTTCCCGCTCCAACGGACTTCTCATAGTAGTACACCTCGAGCTGCGCACCGCAGGCGTGTGCCTTTTCGATGTTCTTTATCCACTTGTCCCACCAGAGGCAGCCCCAAGGCTTGCGCTCCCCGTAGATGGGTATGCACCAGCACTCACCAGTAATGTGCTCTTCTGCTGGGATGGGCGAATGCTTGCCATAGGATGGCGTCCCCTCCGGCAGAAACACGACGGCGGCGCTGGTTTCGCCCTCGCGGCTCCTCTGGACCAAGCAGTCCCATGCTGCCTCATATTTGCCGGGCCACGATGCCACGCAGGGCCTGCCAGACTCTTCGACCACCTTGCCACGAAACACAATGCTGCGGGTGCGCAGCTGCCACTGGGCTGCTCTCAGAGCCTCCTCGTCATCGTATGGCATACTATCCGGCGCAACAATTATGAATGTACCGAACGACAACGCGAAACTGTAACAAGAGCATGGCCAAATGATGAGTGCCGTCCACCAGTATCCAGCCTGGGCATACCGCACGTTCATCAAGGTTACGCAGGCACATGCCAGGGCTCCAGCAAGCAACACAGCAGCTGCCAGACACCGTTCCCAGCCGGGCGCCTCGACTCTCCAATAGGCAGGGCGACCAACTTGTAGCACAAAGAAGCTTAACCAAAAGCAGAGAAGCAGGGCCAAGAAGGCGAGCAGCCCGGCGAGAGCTGCGTCGCCCGGCGGTCCCCCGGCCATGAGCCACAAGAGAAAAATAGCGGGGAGGTAGGCTAGACAAAGTACGCAGATTTTCCGCATGAAACAGTCGCATGCCTCCTTGTCATTTTTTCTGACCTTCTCCATCGCTTCCCGCGCGGCCTGCCGTTCCATGTGCTCCTTCTGCTCCTGATGCCTCCTAGCCTGTCTCTTCACTTCCTGGGCTTCTGCAAGCAGCCACTGCCTGGCGTCTCGACCGAAGTCGCCGAAGTCCTTCGCGGCCGACAGGCGATGCCCCTGACCCCGGCCCTGGATGTGTGGCGCGTCCCGCAGGCGCACCATCAGTGAGCCATGGACGTCGAGGCTTCTGGATGGGTAGAGCACCTGGCCATCCACCTCGATGGCGCCAGGCAGGTCGTTCTTCACCGTCATGGGAATGGGATGGAGGTGAAACTGTGCTATGCTTCAGGCTGCCTATGTGAGTTCTGAGATGGCACTCTAAAGGGATCACATTCTGAGAAGCTGCCATGCTCCCCTGACGTCACCTGCTCTTCTTGAGCCCGGCTAGCTCGCAAGCTGCTGGCCGACGCTGTCACCAACATGACGTCTGCGCCGTCCTCTGCCGGATCTTCCACTTCCAGGCGCGATGGTCACCTGTGAGGCCCGCGGCCTCTGCCGGGCCTGCCATACCTAGGCGCCGACGTGAAAACCAACAGTAATGGATGTGTTCTTCCCCGGAGTACTTGTTCAAATTTCCGGGGGTGATTTCTTTCAAATCTAGGGCCGACCTCATCATACCTCATCTTCAAATCTCTGGGGGGCATTTTCCCCCATCCCGCGCAGGTCTTTGAACTTGTTGTGGCTGGCAAGGCAATAGCATGTCTCGGTTCAGACCACGCTATGCACGAGGGTTGCGGGCTAAACCAGTGGGAGTTTGACGATGATGATGATGATGATGATGATGATGATGATGATGGTGATGATGATGATGATGATGATGATGATGTTGATGTTGAGGCAGGTGAGGATGGCGTTCTTCATGTTGATGATGTTAGATCGATCTGCTGGTGTTCATGACCCTGCGGATGTTGTTGTTGATGGCAATGAGGCTGATGGTGATATCAGAATCATTAGTATCAACTGCAACATCATCTGCAGCGTCATGAACACCAGCAGATCTATCATCAGCAACATGAAGAACGCCATCCGCACCTCCATCAACATCATCATCAGCATTATCGTCAACCGAAGCTCAGACGTTTCAGTCACTTATGCATGTCCCGAAACGACAGCAGACAAGGGCTTGGGCAAACGCAGGGGTTTAGGGTTTAGGGTTTAGGGTTTAGGGCTTAGGGTTTAGGGTTTAGGGTTTAGGGTTTAGGGTTTAGGGTTTAGGGTTTCTGCCATGAAATTTAGGCGACTACTAGCCGTCTGTCACGCCAGAGTAGGTGTGAAAACTGACGTTTCCCGAACAGCGTGAGTCCTTGAATCATAAAAGAAAGAAACAGAGGCAAAAAAGGACCATGTTGCTGCAGTAATGGTAAAAACAAAGGGTAGAAGGACTTGTTGTGAGAGTACGAGGTGCGGTAACCCAGGAGTAGTAGCCAAGCCGACCACGCACCAGTCGTGTGAACAGTCGTGCAGTCGCGCAAACAGCGTGGTCTGTAGACTTCCAGAATTCGGGTTTTCAGGTGGAGTTGAAGGAAATGTGGTGGTCACATCGTCGTTTCCAGACCAGCGGCAGCTTGGGAAGGCATCAGGCAGGTTTGGGGTTAGCTCGGTAGGTTGCAGATCGATTTTATAGCCAGGGCAGCCCACCATTGTGAACTTCCAGGTCTTCAGGGTCTTGCTGATGGGCTCCACTTTCGGGGTTTCAGTTTGGGCGGGGGATCTGGAGACAAAAGGCTGAGGTTTGAGGTTTGCCCTCGCGCAGGTGCGAACATTTGGGAATCATGACTTTCGCGAGAAGTTTTGGATAGTAAGAATCTATCTCGCGACTCCTGCAACTTCAGGTGGCCCTCCACCCCGTTGTTTTGCAAATAACATGGCTCTCGCGATGTGTGCAACTACGATGGGTGCTTCAGGGGCGAACACTTTTGCGATTTCATGCCACCCTGAAACTCTCGCTTGAGTTTTTTGTCAAGCGTGGAGCCGCTTAAATTCCACGCGACCGTGAAATGTACAAAGCCGCTCAAAGCCGCTTAAATCCCAGACGCCCGTGGAACTTGAAAAGCCGCGTTAATGCCACGGGCGCGTGGAATTTAAACACGCCACGGGCGCGCGGAATTTAAGCAGTTCCAGCGGCTTGAATTCCACGGGCGTGTGGAATTGAAGCAGCTCCAGCGCAACTGCTTAAATTCCACGAGCAGCTCCAGCGGCTAAAAATTTCGCGTGGAATTTAAGCCTTAAAAAAAGTCGAGTCAAAACCCTTGTTTCGAGTCAAAATCCTTATTTCCAAGCAACAATCCCTATTTCCGAGCAACAATCCTTATTTCCCAGCAACAATCCTTATTTCCGAGGCCAGCCCTTAATTAAATTCCACGGGTCCGTGGAATTTAAGTGGTGGCCTCGGAAATAAGGATGGTTGCTCGGAAATGAGGATTGTTGTTGGGAAACAAGGATTTTGACTCGGAAATAAGGGTTTTGACTCGGATTCATTGTTGCCGCTAAACTTCCACGCGCCCGTGGAATCTAAGCCGCTGGAACTGCTTAAATTCCACGCAACCGTGAATTTAAGCCGCTGGAACTGCTTAAATTCCACGCGCCCGTGGAACTTAAGCCACGCACCCGTGGAAGTTAAGCCGCTGGAGCTGCTTAAATTCCACGTGCCCGTGAATTTAAGCCGCTGAACTGCTTCTGTAAGAAGTAAGTGGCCTTTGGCTGTGCGGACGATTGGGAGACCTTAAAAGAGCTGCAGGGAGTCAAAGAGACCTCGGAATCTCTCAGGAACTGACTTAGGGTTTTAGGGGTTGAGGGTTTAGGGTTTAGGGTTTAGGGCATGCGCCCGGTGTGTTTGAAGGTCCCGTCACTGAACCATGGCGGCATGACAGCCGCTCGTTGCCGCGCTGCCGCACCCGTTTCGTGATCAGCCATGCCGGAAACGCTGACACATCTGGAATCAAGACTTCGCGGCTTTCTGCGCACAGGCACCGACGGCGCATACCAAACTCAGCACATTTCGCTACAGACACGAAGAGAAACAGAAGAGACACACACACACACACACCCACGCACACACACACACACACACACACACCCACGCACGCAAGCACGCACGCACGCACGTACACTTACCGCCCCAACACAAACTCAGCTCAAGAGCCAGTTAGATATGAAAATGAACAGATAGTCGTGTGTCATCTCTGTTGCAAGCTGGTGGGTCAGTAAAGTAGCAGATACCTATTTTGGGGAACCGACAGCCGCACATCTTTAACACGCAGATATACACATGCAGCAGAGTACACGCATTCCACGGCAAGCTTCAAACCGATCATTTTTCCAGAATGCAACAGAACTACAACCCCCAAGCCGCAGTGACAGAGCGATATCAGAGAACAGACTTCTCGGCCCCAGCTTTTTGGCATCTCGCCAGGCATCCTCCGTGAGGCCATCACCTGTGCGAAAACAAAAGCAGCTGCTGAGACGTGAGCGCAGTCGAACGTGGTTTTCTGGCTTGCGCATGGTTGACCTGCAAGCATAGGCGAGCGATGATGCTAGATGGCAGACCATGGGTTTTGCTCTCGCGAAGGTTTGCTTGCAGCAACACTGTTTGCTGAGGCACCAATGGCACCAATGTTCGAAGAGCTCTTATTCAGAGACTATTGAGCAGTTGTCCTCACAATCGTGCGAGGACCTAGCTTCGAGGGAGCGACAAAATAGGCGTGCCCATGGCGTGCCCGAGGCACTTGCTCGGCAAGATGACATGATGATCCCGAGCAACTGTAGCTTCAGAGCAATATCCTCGGTGACAGGGTGACGAAGGACTTTCGAATGAAAGTTGAAGCAATTGCAAAGAGCGGTGTCGCAACTATCTTCGAAGAACCACGCGGAAGGGCATATCCTCCTTTGTGCAAGCAATGCTGTTCTTGTGCAGCAGCACTTGAGGGCCAGCAGCACTGCATGCTCTGGGAGCTGTGTAAAGCCAAGCTCTTTTGCCGGCAATGGCCTAAATTCGTGCCAGGACCAGCGCGGAGGTGTCGGTAGCGTCAGCAGCACATAGCGTAGCACTGTATCACCGACCACACCGAGCCGGTGGTCTTTGAATTCCGACTCTTGATTTGACTGGACTAGTTGGCCCTGCCTTCTCACAGAAGACCAAGACAGGCTGTACTGCACGCATCGTGGCCCACGCTTGATCAGATTCGCCACACTTTCTCATAAGGCAGACTTCAATCGAAACTTACATGGACCAGAGCCAACGTTGCGTAGGCAGCAAGCTGACGTAACGCCGAACTTGCTCCAGCCCTCATGAGAGGAAGCTAACTGCTACCTGTTGCTCGCAGCTACCTGTTGCTCGCAGTCAACAAAACGGGAAAAGCGCAACCTAGGCCACCCAGGCATTTGCCTGGGAACACAGGGCGTGAGCTGGCTGCGCTCAGGATGTGTCAACTGCCAGGCTCACCACGCTGCACCAAATATCAGGAAAGACGGGCCTGTCGCGCCTCTAAACCCTGCTCTTCCAAACGAGGAGAAGCGCAGGCCGGAAAGGACATTCGGACCACAGGCGAAGGCAGCAGCGCCGGAATTGCACGGCCTTCACCTGAAGTGCCTCAGATTCGGTGCCTGGAGACACGTGTCCGGCGACGCGACTCTTTGGCGATCACACAGGTGCGAGGGACACAGAGAGGGGATTCACCGCGAGTCCCTCCATGACAGCTGAGAAAATTGCCTGTGCATCCTTGTGCGCGCTTTCTTATCTTTGCAGCATGCCTTGGCTTTGCCATGCAAACCTGCGTGATGCTGAAGCCTCGACGGGCAGCACTAGCAGCACGCCCTCCCACGAGCACCATGCGTATGCAGTGCTGATGCAGCCCTTTCTGACTGCTTCTGTTGCACGGCGCCTGCAGCTTTCCTCCCCCACCCTGAACCCGGCTTAGCATCCGCGAACTCGTCGGTCGCCAAGCTAGGGCGCATTCTTCAGTTGACCAGCCTTCTCGCACGTGATCCAGGCATGAACTTCGACTGTCTTACCGGCATCCACCTGCACCCCGTCCAAAAACAAGTACAAATTTTCGCTGGCACATTTGGACTGGCGGCTCGCGGATCACCGTCCCTTGAGATTGGGTCTTCCGTTTCAGGTTTAGGGTTTAGGGTTTAGGGCTAGCTTGGGCATGCCCGAGGAGCTGGCAAAGTCCGTTCTCGATGCCTCACATTCTGAAGCGATATCGGATAAATCTTGCAACGACTTCCCTTCCGACCAGTTCGCGTGTCCT